CTGGAACCACTGTAGTTCCAACTACATAAGTCCTAACTAACTAACTAACTAACGTGGTTCGAACAACTGTGGTACGACGGTTTCGAGAAACAGTCGTTGGTCGGATGTTGGTTAGTTTGAACTACCATAGTACGATGCATCGTTAATGCTAACTTCCGTCGTTGTTCGAGAAACGCACCCCTGGACGATTAACCAAATAAAGCAGCGCAACATTACAGTAACTAACAATGAATAAACCACTGACTTACATGTACTATTAGAGCATTTATGTCATTTATTTAAACTTTATTTTACCAGGTAAATGAACTGAAAACCAGTTCTCACTGATTTACGTGATATTCGGGAGAAATAGCAGATTACGCATCGGAACTGCCTGGGATACAAACGTCATGCGTGTAACTAAACTCTTCAGCCAATAAGGGCAAAGGTGTGTCGTCACGGAGGCAGTTCCAGTTTGTGCAGCCGGGTGAGAGGTCGCAATGCATCTGGAATGCATTGCGTCAGGATCAGAATGCGTTGCTGTAAGCAAGTCGAACGCACCCAGTGACCGGACTGGGGAAACAAACTGAAACACGGACTTACGTGGGGGCCAGGAACCAATTAATTGGTTTTCCATTATTTCTTATGGGAAAAATTCAATCAGAACTCGAACTTTTTAGGATTCGATCCGGAGTCCAGAACGGATTAAGTTCGAGAACCGCAGTACCACTGTATTTGATTTTACACTTTCCCATGGGTTGCAGTTTTGGAGACAATGCCATAGACTATGGAGTTATATTTGTGTCACTATTTGGGGGGAAGCAGGTTTATATTTTGAGTGGTCACAAGCTGTGGGTAGTGACCGAAAGAACGAGATCGCGAGTGCAAGCGGCCGAAATGAGTTTTCTCCGCAGGGTGGCTGGACTCTCCCTTAGAGATAGGGTGAGCTCGGTCATTCGGGAGAGACTCAGAGTAGAGCTGCTGCTCCTCCGCATTGAGAGGAGCCAGATGAGGTGGCTAGGGCATCTGATTAGGATGCCTCCTGGACGCCTCCCTGGTGAGGTGTTCCGGGCATGTCCCACTGGGAGGAGGCCCCGGGGAAGACCCAGGACACGCTGGAGGGACTATGTCTCTAAGCTGGCCTGGGAACGCCTCGGGATCCCCCCAGAGGAGCTGGAGGAAGTGGCCAGGGAGAGGGAAGTCTGGGTTTCCCTGCTGAGACTGCTGCCCCCGCGACCCGACCTCGGATAAATGGATGGATGGAAATTTACATTTTGAGCAAATAAAAATCTATTTTGTGCTCAAAAATAATAATAGAAATGTACAGGCATCTTCTCTTTGAGTGGTTTAAGAGCTGTTTGAGATCTGTGAGCCTGAAACATAACCAGTTCCTGACAAGTTTGACGTGTAGCATGAGTTACTGTGGTAGAGTACCCTGCTGAGAAGTAAACCAAAGATATCAAAAAGCCAGTGTTACCACTACTGTCCTACTCAAAGTAGTCCAGCTAAACAAGGCATCTGGCTTCATGATACAGGCCCCTGCCCAGGGCAGGATAGGCTCACAGGCTAAATTTCTATGGGAACATGTAGTCTACTTTTCTTAGTACTGAAAATTCAATGTTAAAAATCAAGTATTCCAGCTAAGCTGGCTCAACTAGCTTCAGTTTATCCAAGTGAGTCAGTCACATTTAAACGAAGATACTTTTTGATAGTCTAAAATATGTTTATGACCTCAAAACTTAAGACTTTGAAAGTGGTTCGGCTTGAACTGAAGACTTTTTAATACCCAGCGAATTAAACAGAGGATCTGAAGTGTTATGAATAAAAAAAACCATCTTTAACCACCCCCATCCCTGTCTATAACTGTAGTAGAATTACAAAAGAAACCTAAGCTATGGTATAGCAAAAACAATACTGTTTGCATTACGTGCATAAACAAGAAAATGGCATGGCTTTCACCCAACTTTACAATCCTTTTTTTTCCCCTTTTTTTATATATTTGTTTGAGCATACTGCTTATTACATAGGGCTTCTTATAAGCCATACTACCTGCAAATTTAACTGTCAGTCTGTACTATAAATTTTATTAATTTTTAAATTAATTATTCTGTGTAGTAGACCTATACTCATTACTACAGCAAAATTTTGGTTTCCTAATAAATTACAGCACCACTGGAGAGACAGAGTAGTTGATAAGACCAAGGCTATATATCGATATGTTATACTGAACTGTATATGTTGCTGGAAACACATCCTGTGTGCCGACTAATTTGAGGCATCCGCTCAGCGTGAATACGAGCAGAACAAGGCAGAAGTTAGTCTCCCTGTGGCACAGAAGAGGCTTTTGCCAGGAAAAGCAGACAGAGCTAAAAAAAAAAAAAAAAAAAAGATTAATTATGGCTATAGGGGTGTTTATCGCTGCAGATATGCAACCGAACTCGGTGGTAGAGAACAGGGGAGTTATACAGGATTTAGTTCATTGTGACATGATATTTATTGTCACTATGTGCAAATAAGCAGTTTTGTTAGACAGATCGACAGATGTATCACCTTTGGTTTACAACTGTTACCAATTGTGTTTGCAGTTTTAATAATAAAATACTGAAACTGCCTTGAACCATGAACCCAAATTCAGTTTTGTGCCTCACCATGAAGTGTGCACCGCTACACCTGCGGTACATTAAATATATATTATGTGAGCCACTGAAAACAAACATGGAGTTATGATAAGCACATTTTATTCTCTTTCTCATATCCAAGAAAACGTTACTCACAGTGCCCTCCACCTAAGCCACCGTAGTGATTAGACACGGCAAAGAGATCGTACACGTGACGCTCAGCCTTTGGGTTGCACACAAACTCTGACATGTTCAAGTTTCTGGAGAGTAAAGATAAAGAATATTAGTCAACAACAGGTACTTGCTCAACTGATATGGCTTTTATATATTATATATTAGTAAATTCTTTTGAAACATTATTAAAGTAAAACAACAATTCTTTTAATTAAGTGCCAATTTTTGTAAGGTAAACATATCAAATACAATGACCATTCAAATAAATTAGGCATTTTAGTTAATGCAGGTCTGACAACAGCTGTAGTGCCATTTAAAATAGGTACATTTTAAATAAGAATCTCTCTCTGCAACATTAACAGAAAACATCTGCTATGAGGATTCTGTATTCGTGTGAATACATTTGATCGACATTTAACATTCTTATACTTCGATATTTAAAAAGGTCACCTACCCCAAACTTTCTAATCCAGTGTCCCAAAGATAACGAATGCCAAGAGATTGACCCTTCATGGGAAATACAATACAACTGCAGCAATGCTACTGCCAAACAGCCAACCAATTGCCAATTGCCAATGGATGTAAACGCCAAAAAAAGAACAATATTTGTACTTGGGGCTTGTGGCAAGATTATAAAGATCATTGTTACAGATTCCACAGATTACGTACGAAACAGAACTCGAAATCATCATTTTTTAGTAGAATTCCCTTTTGAGTATATTCAGTTCCGCAACTCTCTCATCTGGGATTTTGCGTAAACAAACTTTGACCTTTAAGCAACAGTTTCAGTTTTCCTACTAACTCCTATAGGCTTCTGATTAACAAACTACAATATTGCTGAATAGGTATGAAGTGACTGGGCATTTGAACAGAATCTTTACAAACGGAATGATCCATATAGCAAGAATTTTATATCATGGGGGGGAAGTCTGAAGTTCTCACAAACCTTTACTACACCCTTAGAGCTAAAGTCTCCTTTGAAGTACCTGATGGGGAAGTCCACTACTGTATCCAGCTTGTCCCTCCAGCAGCGGTTGTAAGAGAAACGCTTGAGGTGCACCACCAAGATACGGGGGAAGGACCACAGATCAAACTTCTTTGTTGCCTGCTGGTGTTTTTTGCAGGTGGGGCAGTACCTTGGCACAAAGTTACATCAAGTAAAAGTGAGAAAATTTCAATTAGCTTACAGCCTGTGTGGTCATGTCATAAAAACAAACACAGAAAAGCACAGAACCACCAAGTAAGAACATTATACAACGTCGATTGTTTTTTTTTGTTTTTGTTTTTGAAAGCTAGCACTATATCCAGACAATTTACTTTCAGGACCAGGAGTCAGAAAATATTGAAATGATATTTAAAGAATATCCGTGTGACCCCAAGCAGGATAAGCAATGAGCAAAGGGATGGAGGGATATTTAAAGAAGCACATTCAGTACTGAGCATGTTGTCTGCAGAATACTCACCAGGGATCATGCTCTCCCAGGGTCTCCATGCTGGTGAAGAGCTCAATGCACTCCTTCAGAGCCACGGTCACCTTCTTCTTCTGCAAGTGCAGCATGCTCTCATGCTTCTCGTAGGCCTGGTTTGTGGTCCAGAAACAAACCCCCGTATCATATTCAAGGCCAGCCTCAAGTGCAGGGACCCATTCCTTTAAGTTAATGGCTATTTATTAGGAATATGTACATAGAGATGAGGCCACTCTGACCTCTGCCTCCTGGTCATCATAGTACAGTTTCTTCATTTCTGGATTCCAGTCCATTGCCACTGTGGAAAGTTCTGTAAACACAGATGGACAATCAACAATAGCTGATGAACAGCTCAGGGGTCAGGTTAGTCTGCAAGTAACACATTTTAGACGACATGATAAATATGAGGGATGAAGATTATAGCATAGCACTGACAAAAAAATACTTTACTTTATTCTTCTCTATAAGAATATTTCTGTGCCACATTCCGTGCTTCTGACTTGATAAGAACAAGGTTTGTCTTAAAAATTAGTTCCAAGCTGAATTTCAACCCACATCATGCTGTAAAATGTGAATAAAGGGCAGACACTTGCTGTTGAGCTTCAGGAGGTTTCCATCTCCAGGCAGCAGCGCAGTATTTGCTGTCCCGTAAGAGTTGATCAAACTGAATGAGAAGAGTTTGGCCTGAGAGCTTCCAAATCCTGACTTGGATGTGCAAGCAGCGAGGAGTTTTTTCACCTCCCCACCTCCCTCCTCATCTTCATCGTCATCTTCATCTTCATCATCACACACAGATGCTTCCGATGCACTATACTCTGGCTCTGGGCTGACCTGGTGATCCATTGCTTCTTCCTCTAATATACAAACATCTTTCATTAGTAAGGGACTTAATTACAGCATTTCCTGATTTGTCAGCTTTCAAATCTAAGCAAAGGCGAGAAGGTCCAGTTGGAAGACAAGAACTTGGTTACGTTACCATCCAATGACAGTCACAAAAAAGGAATTTCCTCTTCCGGAAACTAAATTCCAAACCACAACAATGTAATAATTTAGCTCCATATCTAGCTTCTAACAATTCAAACCTAAGGCATTTACAAAACTAAACAACTGATTTTGAACTTTGTTCATACCTTCACAAACTTTACTGGAGCCACTGCAGATCCCAGACTGCTGTTTGCTGTTTGACTCTAATCCACATGGCATCACTTCTGCCAAAGGGTCGACACACTGACTGTCTGTGTTGCAACCATGCAGCATATGTTCCTCAGCATCATGGCAGCTGCCATGCACTGCTGCTGAGGAACATTCCTTCCCTTCAGTGACAGATTCCTGGGGCCACTTCACGTAACGCCTGCAATAAAGGTTGGTGGGTACTGCAGTCATGTTATGTCAGGATGCTCACAACAGTGAATTTGTGCGATTTTCTGGCCTCTCCCCTCATCCGTGGCTACAGAACGAAACGCCATATGTGTTAATGTCATTTAAGCTCTTAAGAAACCCCTCCAAATATGATAAAGAGCAAAATAAGAATTTAAGAGTGATGCTGCTTGCTGACTGGCCACGACTCTTAATGAGACTTGACAAAGTCTTAAGTAGCACCTCGTTTAGAAATGCAAATGACTAAAACTCAAGATTGTGGTGCACCTGATCTGAATGACCTCATACGCCGTTCTGACCTGATTCGATCAAACACCTTTGAGTACAGCAGATCTACGGAGAGGCCTTGCCGGGGGACGGTGATAAGCAGGGGCTGGCCAAACAGCACCGTCCCTGGGGATCCTCCTGCGGACTTCGTCTGCCTCTCTCTGAAATACATCAGGAGGTTGAGGCCATTCTCATCCTCCGCTTCCACCTCATAGCTGCCGGTGAGATGACCAAGAGGGACAAGCACAAGTGGAAGGGGAGAAAGAGACAAAGACAGTTGTCTTTTAAGTGAATGGAAAGAGGCAGTCGTCTACAAGAGATGACCACAACGATAACTTTGCTACGGCTAGACTTTTGTATGAAATGGCTACAACATTACCAATTTATACTGGATATTTGCTTGGAAGGATGTGGGATAAATGTAGTGCTCATGGGTACATACATTGGGTCAACCTGATCTGAGACTAGATTCAGCACCTCTGCTAATTTTAAGACCATTAAATACTTCAATACTCTAAAAATGCTGCCAATTATGTTTACCAGAACACCTCATTGGTTGATACTTTTTACTTGCATGGAAAGATCAAGAAATACATTAAATCACTTACACAAAGATGTCGTCTTTATCCATTATGCTACTCAGGCCATCCTCCTTCCGATAGATTTTATGGAACCGATGATTGTAAACATCTGCTACAATCATCTGAGAAGAAACTGGCACGTCAATGCCTCATCCAAGGGGAACTGGCATGTTTCTTTAAACACTGTTCAAACTGATCAAGGTTAAATCCAAGGACTAGTAAAAAATAACTATTCTAAGTTCTCTGAAAATGTTTCTGAAGGGTGAAACGTTTTCAAAGAACTAAATAAATCCAGTTGCCTTGAATAACCTTTCTAGGGATAACCATGACCTGGATGACTGAGAATCTTCACGGACATTTAACTATTCTAAGCTTTGCCAGAGGATAAGTTCCTGTATACTTACATTCTCTGTAGCAATTCCTGACAATTTTGATAGTGCATTGCACAGATCTACAACGGTGCCCAGTTTGGGAACCACCACCCTGTACTGGACAAAAGAGAAAGAATGGGGGAAAAAAAAGCAAAAAGAGAGCAATAATCTTAGTTACCAAGCTGTGCAGACTCTTCTGAACAGTTCATGCACCAAGGCCTACTACTACATTTTTTTCCATTATGTGTTTTTGGTCCTCCATTTTGAAATTCCAGCACTGAGCGCTGACAAACGAAAAATGTCTTTGGAGGTTCATAAGTCTTCTGGTCCTACCTGCATGAGCCTGCTTTGGGGATCGGTGCGCACCAGGGACACCTCCATCGTGCGGTCCTTCTTCATCGGCAGCGGCAGCGTCAGGTAGCAGAATGGGTCAAAAGTGACGGAGACTTTTGAACATTCTGGGCAGACGAGAGTGGACTTGAAGAGGCCGTGGAAGATATCCACTATGATGGAGTCATTGCGCAGCTGGTGGTTTCTCCAAGCTTCTGCTGCTACAGTCTAAAGCAAACAGGCAGAACTTTAGCGTTACGCCAGCATAAGAGGCTCCAGCAATGTGTATGAAGACGACTTACGTAAATATATATAATATATAACTGGCAGGCTCTACAAAACAATGGGATGTGGCAGTTTTTGACTCTATGTGTTATGCGTACCTCATCTGGTCTGCCATCAGCATCCCTCAGCTCCAGGTAAGGCTTCTTCTTGACACGGTTAAGGTCCTCGTGGAGCCCATCCAGCAGAAAGGCCAGCAGCTCTTGGGAGTCTTGTTGCTGGTAGCCTGAGAACTGGGGGGCAAATCGGCCAACTTGGGTCTGGAAATCAATTGTGAATGGGAGGGCATTGGGGTTTGGCACACGTTTGTTAAGTCTGACTGTCAAACACATACAAAACGACAAACCACAATTCATACTTCCAGAAACATAAAACCACAGAGGAAATGGATGTGCAATATATTTTTCTAAGCTACATATTACTGTCTGGATTTGTAGGATTCTCCTAAGGTTAATGGCTTCCTGTTTTATTATCCTTTTCTTTAAGAAAGTAAAAAGGGAAGCAGTGAAAAAGACTGTAACCTTACACAATGACACCAGATTTTATGCTTTATTTATGCACTTTAAGAAAGTTATTCATTGCCTTAAAGGTGCGAGGAGCCATGTAGCTGCAGTTACAGTCGAGCCACAGCTGCTTGATCAGGTCTGCATAAGCCTCAGCGATCTCCCCTCTCATCCCCAATGGATTCTCCCGGTTGATCTCAGCTTCATAGTGGTCATTCAAGAAGTACTCTGTGAGCGGGGACGCATGGCTGAGGCACTGGATTGGGAAGGGGGCACATATCAGGTATACGCTAAACAATGCTGGCATTATTGGGTCTATCGGTTTGGGGGCTTCAGCTTCAATTCCGGTTCAGTTTAATTAATAATGCACTTATAAAGAGCGCTCCCTCTAATCAAGACTGTTGGCGTGTGTACCTGAAGAGCGGAGTTCATGAAGCAGGTGTTGCCCAGGTTACTGAGGCCACACAAACCAGGCTGAGTCTGGGCCTCAGAGTAGATGTATGATGAGCTGTATGAACTGTAACCTCCAATCCTGAGATAAAAATCAGCCCCGTCAGAGACTGATCGCAGACACACCTCATCCAGAAACAATTTTTAATGCATCGGACAGAAAATGGCAAAAAAAATAACCTATTACCTATTGTCAGATGAGGCACTGCTGTTCATTGCGTAACCAGAAATGCTGCTGTCCCCATTGGTCAGAGTCAAAGACACCCAAGAGTTAGAGGAGAGCGCTGAGGAGGCAGTGAAGCTCGGGGACAGGGCGGTGCTGGACCTAATCAAATAATTATAAAATGATTACAAGGTAAACTGGGAAATTTTGGGGTAATAGTTTCTTTCACAATAATAAGGGGATGAGAGAACCAGAAAATACTGACTTGGCATGTTGGGACTGTCTGGACCACATACCATCCCCATTCTTCTGTTCAATAACCAGCATCTGCAGGCCCATAGCAGACACAAAAAGGGAAATCTGGCAGTGTTTCCCCTACCATTATATTAGGGGGGCGGGGCGGGGCGGGGCGGGGCGCCCCCCTCCCCCCTCCCTCAAAGATCAAGTTAATTTTATTTTCTATATAGCGCCAGATCACAACAGAAGTCATTTACCTTTCCTATAGAACAGGTCTATACATTGTCCTTTTATTAAACAAACTAAATAGCCTTATGTTATTTATCTTATTTACACAACAGCTTGTCATTTCTGCCTCTACACGGTCGCACGTTTACAATTCTCCTCTGCTCTCTGTATCGCGCATGGCAGTGTCTGGTGTTCTCAAACAAGCTTAAAAAGTTGAACCATCTCCACACTGATGCCGTCCACACAGTGATCTTATGCCAGCCTAACTTACAGCAAAAACAGGTATCACCTTCCCTAGCACCTCAGCTTACAGACAATGGAGCAGAAGTAAGCTTGAGATTAGCAAAGTCCGGTTTGGTCTACTTCCCCACCTGGCCCTGGAAAAGTCCGGAATCCTGCACTGTACTGTCCATCTTGTTAAGCTGCTCAAACGTGTTGCTCATGTACTTGTTCCACAGGCGAGTCTCTTTCTCCATGGGAATCCCAAACAGCTTCCTCATCTCCTTTTCAATCGTACCTATACGGTGACAATGACGTACATATAAAGGATGCCTCAACGTGCAGATTTCTTTTTTTAATTCTTCATCAGTGGAGTTACTTCCCTGTTTCACATATAAGATTAATCACCTTTAGACCAAATATAAAACATGCAAAAACCCACAAAACAGGATATTCAGAATGATTGAAATGCCCCTTCATTCCTCTCACCTACAGTATCAGCCTTACTGAAGTGCCTAGTCACTACTTTGTCCATGTTGTTAAACTCGCACAGATTGAGCTCCAAGAGGTAGACTTCCACTTTACAGTGTTTCACAAACATTCCATGCTCCACAACCTAAAAAAATAAAAAAGCATTTCAATGCTAAAAAAGTCTATTTTTTGTCAAGCCATTTGTCCATTAATAGAATTTACTAAATTTGTCCATTGACAATCAGGCCCGAAATATTCCAGATACTTTTCATGATCATATTACCTGAGGCTCCAGACTCCAAATTAAGACAACAAGTGGTGAATTGGAACTGTACATTAATTATCCATATTCAGGCACTAAGAGTTTTCATGCTTTATTTACCTTTTTTACATGTACAAGTAGTTATAGCTCCAGGGAACAGCCACATGCATGTGATGTATTAGACAGCAGAAATACCTCGTGGGGAGATTGCAAACAGGTCGTAATTACTTCAGATTAGTGTCGGCTGCAGATCATAAACTGCCCTCGCATAGATGTTAGAATTAGCAAGCAAGTACGGTATTACCTTGTCTAGACTTAAATTACACTGTTTTTGCATGCTGGCCAGACACATGTGTGCTGTGTGGGTTGGTTTTTCAGTTGTTCTCTACATTTTAAACTGTGTTTGCAGCCCATGCTGGATTTTTCATTACCCTCCTGCATTAGCAAATTCATGCATTACTTGCCAAATGTCCCGTCAGCTTACCTTCCGGACAATGGGCCGCTGACCCTCTAAGAACCCATACCAGCTGACAAGATTCTGCCAGGCCTCAGTGGGCAGCAAGATATAGTCAAGCTCATCGATTAGATGTTCTTTCAAGGACTGTGCCTCATGGTCTATGAGAACAAATACAGGTTGCATCTCCTTATAAGTAACAAATGGAAAAAAGGCTGTTTTCCTTTTCAGGCAAATGTAATTTGTCTTCCACCAGACAAATATTCTGGTTCTTAAAACTCACATCCCTCAATCCACAGATAAAACATGCTGCCGTTTTAACAACCTGGCCTCAGGCTTTTCAAGAATTTCCCCAGATATTATAAGGGACTAAACAACTATTTTTGGGGGCATTTTTCATGACGTAAAATTTCAACCATGCATATGCTAAAATATCAAAGGCAGTACTTGTGGCAGACCAGCTGGCTTCTGACATTGGTTCAAGGCTACGATTTTTATTACATTTGAAAAATGTCATTTATCAAGTTAACAAAGTAACCTTAACATGCTAATTTACATAGAATTTACCCGAGAAAAGTCCTGAGTTGTCTATAGGACCTGGAAAGAGGTTCCGTTCCCCAACATTGTACATGTCCCAGCTCTCATAGCCCACATACTTCTTCCATTGCTTGAACCACCTGGTGTCAATCAGGAACCTGTAAAAAAAAATTAAAAAATTAAAAAATGTTTGTAGGAACAGGAATGAATTCACCATAAATTCACACAGTGAAACTTTTTTGTTCATCCAAGAAAAAAAAAAGCGGTTTTAAACTTGCCAGTAAAGTAACTCTTAGTATTTCCTAATTGCCTAGAAATTAAGGATCTGCTGACAATACCAAAACACTCTGTTTGTGAAATTAAAAACTGCAGGTGACTCAGTTGGGCAATTAATTAAGTACGGTGTTAGTTATATAAACAAAATGCAGTATTAATGTAATTGCTTAGAACCTTATGCTGACTAGTATACAAGGCCAGCCAAAAAGACGGATGGCTATTGATCCTCCACTGGACAATGCAACCAAATTAATAACTTGGTGGCAGCTACGCTTATTCCACTGTCTCACTGCCACACATGAAGAGGGCAAAGCCGGGCAGAGGCTGTCCTGATGCCCACCCTGCGCTTAGGGACGGGCCTGGACGCCGGGACGGACCTGTAGGTGCAGCCGGTGCCAAGAGAACCGCCAGATTAACAGGACAAATGCGGCTCCCAACTGGATGATAACCAGGGCGACCGTCCCTTAGCATCGTCCGCACCGTCCTGTTGAAGCCTGTGGGGAAACCCCGAAATGGGGGCATTTTGACGGGCGTGACTCCCGTCATTCATTAAAACCAGCCAGGTAATTCGAACTAGCTGTAGCTAAACCCTGCTTTCCCACACAGACGGAGCCAAAGCGGAGACCCCCTGCAGCTGCCGCTTCTCTGTCCCGCACTGAACGTTTAACCCCCCCCAGCCAAAGCCGGCTACCTGCAAAGCCAAATGCACAGGCACACCTTGCTTGACAGGACCCAATTTTGGCCGGTTGCGAGGCCCGCAGTCCCCGGGATTTCCCGGCTTATGACGGTAACATGCTTACCAGTCATCCCCCTTTCTGAGCGGCGTCTTGATCAGGACCCCGACGGTCTGTTTCTGATCCTCGGCCGAGGGCATGGCCATGCGAGGCCGCGCCGGCTCCGGATCGGCCCGTATCCCGCCGCCCAGCTCGGGTCCGCCTCCCTCAGCCATCGTCCCGCCGCCAAGGGTGGAGACGCCGGGGCTGCGCGGCTCGGATGTGAATGAGTCACGGGTGTCTGTGCGCAGGCAGCGCCGGTACCGGGCCGCCGGGGGCTCTGCCGCCCCCCAAGCAAGAAATACCAAATCGCAGGTGTAATTTCAAAACATCTGCAAGACCTATTTATCAAGCGTTTGCAGACGTGTGGGATTCCCAGCCATCTTCGGAAATTTAGGTTTTTATAGGTTTTATTGAATTATGTCTTTGGTTCCTTAGCCCACGTCGTAATATTAATTATACTGCATTACTCCATTAACCGTATAATTTCTGATCGGCCAAATACGGCGGCAATGTTAAAGTCCAACATTAATTAAGACCCTTGTCCGCAGATGTTGCCCCTAATGTGAATTATGACAGCTTTCGGAAATGCTTTCCTAAAATGGCATCCAAGGCACATATAATTTATAATGCCACACACCACATCGCGGTGTATAATAAAGTCTAAATTTTAATGATAGCCGAAAGTGGCTGGGCGATTAGGTTGATTTTGGTTTGAGTTCTGTATTTTTTAATTGTGGTTTGTGGAGATGTCGTTTCAGATTCATTACAATTTATATGGTTAAGACTACTTTGCATTAGGATTAAATGCGTTTCATAGGTCGTGCAAATTAACAAAATTGTAATATAATTGACTGTACTCGTGGTACATCTCAAACAAAAATACAAAATGAATGAATTACAGGTTATAATATCTTTATACAATAACAGATTTAATAAACTGAGCATAAACAAAAAAAATTCACTTGCGTCCTGTCTCTCGGTAACTAGGCGGCGCCGATTATAAGGCTTTCCTCATTACTAGTGCCACCTTGTGGCAGAATTGCGACATAACACCTGGAAGAAAATGGCCGGTCAAGAGGATCCAGTGCAAAGAGAGATTCACCAGGACTGGGCTAATCGGGAATATATAGAAGTTATAACAAGCAGCATCAAGAAAATCGCAGATTTTCTAAATTCTTTCGGTAGGGATGACAATCATATATATATCACGAAGAACCGTTCATGGCATTTAACTAGTTTCAGGCTCTCTAACGTAGCAAGTTTAGCCAGATAGCTAGCGGATGCTAGCCGTCGAAGTGTTTGTATCTTCCGGCGAGCAAATGTTGTATTTTTCAAAGAGTGTTTTAAAAGACCTAATTTTTTTTATCAAAGTCTCCACGCCTGGTCGAAGAGGGTTCGTGGGTATTCTATTTATTAGTCTCTCCGCTTGATTTCTTATGCCGCCCAAACGGTAGCTGGTAACGTCCGTCTTTTAAGGCCGAGATTCACGGAAGAGTGTTAAACGTTATTAGCTTCACAGAAACGCGGCGTTTTAAAACTACCATTATTTACGGCGTTGTAGGAAGATAAATGCCAACATTGTTAAACAGCGGTTGTCAGCGAAGTCGAGGGACTAAATATGTAGCCCAACCGTGTAGCAGAGATGCTTGATCAGTGATGTACAAAATCGCTTGTTAAAGGACTTGAATTTTTCTACATTTAAGAGTTATTATTATTATTATTATTATTATTGATATTATGATTATTTATTGGTATTATTATTATTATTATTATTATGCTTGTACCGAAAGTACTCTTGATGGCGACTGGAGGATGGGTGGATCAATGTGAGGTGTAGCTTGTTTTCATGATTACATTACTGTCTTCCTTAGACATGTCCTGTAGATCTCGGTTGGCCACTTTGAATGAGAAGCTGACTGCCCTGGAGAGGAGAATTGAGTATATCGAGGCCAGAGTAAGTGGTGATTTTATATATATATGATTTATTGCGCACAAAATTCTGAAACGACTGGACATTGATTGTAAATAAATACTTATTACCCCCTTCGTTTCACAGGTCACTAAAGGAGAGACATTAACTTAAATCCAGCAGCGCGACTGGATTTATGTCTTCTTAAAGAAATGACAACCAGAATTTCTTTTGCTCATTTTGCAACTTAATTCTTTTAACATACATCTGTGAGTCTTGGTACCACTTATGAACACTTTCAAATTGTGCTGTGTTGTAATGGTTTCTTAAGCTTCATATTGCTGTAAAAGCTTGAAATACTGCACTGTAAATCCGATGTACTTACTCATCATTCCGTGTGTTTTTTTTTAAAACACACACTTGTTCTGTTGTGGAAATTGTTATTTTGAAACCTTATTAATGTCATAGAGCTGACACTTTGAATTGTTTAAAAAAGCACATACGAAACGCAGCTGGATTGAACCAAACAGGCATAGAAAGCTGTAATGCCACCATAGAAAATGCTAATTGCAGTGTTTTGTGGCTTTACATGTGGTAAAGAAAATCTTGTCTCTGCTTTGCTGTTTTGTGTTTTTTGGAACGTTGGCTCACTGCTTTTTAAGATGGCCTAAGATGATGCATGTGCAATGGAAGATCAGAAGAAGCATCCATGCATCACACAAGTGGCGAATGAGTGCCAAGTCACATTTCTTTATATGATTCTATCTCAAAAATTACACCAGTTTTGATTTTTAATATGTATGTGTACATTTACCATTGTATTTTGGATTTCGTGTTGAGACAATAAAGGATATTAAAAAGCATTTTTAATGTTAGTCATGCGCAAGCATTAATATAACCATGGTACTTTAAAAACTTTTACACTAAATGTGTTTCATATAACATAATGAGAATTTGGTAGTTTTATTTGTACATTTGCTGTATTGGACACAGTTAAGTCTAAATATATCCATTAAATTCTTTAAGATGATAATCTTTATTGCCTTTAATATACTGAACACTTTTATTGTGCATTGCATAATGAATGCATATCTTGGCTGTTTCTTTTGCGGTAAATTATGTTCCAGTCTTAAACTGGAAAATGCTTTGAGTGAAAGGTTTCTCATGGGTTAGAAAATTTGCTCTTTTTTTGTTTGTCTCAGTGGCTCATCTGTGTAGGCTTTTGCCTTCATTTCTGCAATGTGGATTTTCTGATTAAAACAAGATCAGATAATTTCCCTTGTTTAGTGATAGTTTTTCATATTCATCATTTCCAGCCATTTTTCCTGATGAAAGCTGTGGTTCAAACACAAAGTTGATCATTGATATTTTTTTATCCTGAAGGAAATTGCAGATTTCCATTAGCATATTACACACATTTAGAGAGTAATAGTGACAAATAATGGACAACAATAAACAATAACGGTGCAAAAAATGTCAGGTAAAGTATTCTGTAGTATTTTATTCTAGAGTGCTCTAGTTCCGTGTATATCTATGAACCTTTTTGTGTTAAAACATGGTGTTAATTATGGACAGTACATGCCACAAAAATCCAGTAACAATCTGCCATGCAGGCTTAGATCCACAAGGCCATTCATCCCAGTCCTACCCCTCCATGGATCCCCATCCTTCCCTATGTAAACACTGAAGTCTCCCAGTTGGACCATAGAGTCCATGGATGGTACCCTTTTCAATTATCCTTTCCTTTTAAGAACATAAGAAATTTACAAACGAGAGGAGGCCATTCTGCCCATCAAGCTCGTTTGGGGAGGAATTAACTAATAGCTCAGAGCTGTTAAAATCTTATCTAGTTCTGATTTAATGGAACCCAGGGGAGGATGATAGAAGTAATTTGTAGTCATCTAGAGCCCAGGGGTAAAAAATCCAGTTGCACAGCCCTCAGGATTTGACTTGTCAGTATCCCCTCACCCACCTCAGATTTCTCACCATTGGGAACTTCAGAATAGGAGAGACATTATGAGAACTAATAAGTACAACTCAAGAGTTCTTTATTGTCAACACTTCCATGTACAAGTACACACTGCATTGAAATTCTGTTTCCCTTCGCCCCCCTATGGTGCTACACATAAATACAAACAATAAACAAATATATAACAACAATACAATATAAAGAGCTACAACCTACAACTGAGAGAGCAGGACCCACCCATCCCTGGAGCAGTTGAGGTCCTTCCCCATCTGAGCAATAATGCTCCACATTCACAGAGTCAGTGTCCATTGCCACAGTCTAGTCCAATTAGGTCTTTCCTTCTCCCTCATACCTGACTTCCAAATAACAATGTACGTGACCCCCACCCTCACGGGGTGGCTCCATATAGGTATTTTAGGCTGAGCCCAGCCAGGTTACGTGGGCAGACTGGCTACCAGGAACTTGCCGGTGAACAGGACCACAGGCTTGTATCTAGGGCTGGGTGCTGGAAACCCTATTCCAGCCAAGGTATTTATACATGATGCTATCTTTTGTTGGAGGTCTTTGTTGGATTGTAGATTGTTTGGCTTCTCCCCAGAGCCATGTTTGCCCCAGGAGCCCCAACCAGGAGCTCCCTTCTCCAGATGACAGCTCTGGGGATTAATAGAATCATCCCTGAAGAGAAATGGTGTTTCACATCTTGCTCTCCGTGAGACACATGGATACATATACAGGTGAGAACCAATTTGGGGGTCACTGCACAAGGTCTAGCCAGCTAAGTTAAGTTAAGGCCTTTGCTCAAGGGCCCAATTGGCATATCACTCTATATGAACATACAGACAAAGGCTGCAACCTTCTAATCACAGCCAGAGAGTCCTAATGCATAGAGCCACATGCCGCCCTATAATGAAGTGTTAGAAGTGGGACCTGAATTCATGCCTCCAGGGGAGACTGCAACATGATAGCAGCAACATAGATCAGGATTTTTGGATGTTTCTGCATTGAATGTCTCACTAAGTATAGTGGCATCACAGACAACATGAGGAAGGATTTTTTTTTTTTAGAGAAACAGTATATTATTTTCCCAGTGCTGGGAGGATGAGGTAATGTCAGTCTGACATTGACTAATGCTGAATGAAACATTTACGCCTTTATTTTTAAATGTGAGATGGGATGTTCCGTCAACAACTCCAGGGGGTGAATTTTCGCTGTTTCACCATCTTCGCTGCATATTGTTGACTTTCATTTCGTTTACGGTAATTTGCTTTTAGGTTACACTCCAGTTCAGTAGATGGCGATTCACACATTTCAGCTGCTTCTAGCTCACATGAAACTCGTCGAGGAAGACAAACACCGCAAACCGGAAATCATCGCTGCGGGGCGAGGAGGGAGGCAGACATCTTTTATTTTCAGTTGATTAGTATGGGAGGACCTTGACTCCAGCTGTTAGAAGTATTATCAAATATCCAATTTAAGGTTCGTTTTTTTTTTGTGAAGCAGCATACGAATTCACAAAATAGTGGTAAGTTCTGAAATTGCTTAAAGACTATAGGTGTAAATTACGTTTCTTTTTAATTTACTACGGTAATAGTCTCCATTTTGTAGACGGCAGTTATGTATCATCGACAGGTCGAGATTTACAAAATAAATTGGTTTTGTTTGGTTTATTCACAGAAAAATAAGTTGCTCAGCTAAGTAAGTAAAATGATGAGTTATGCACCATGTTAGCCGTTGCTGGCTGTATTTTCGGCGACACGTACAATTGTCAAACGTAGCATCCTTGCTAGTTAGCTGGCGGTCACCAGTTCGCCTTAATATCCCACGAAACACTGCTGGACATGTATATAAAATCTCAGAATAATTATTAAAGCGTGTTTTATTCTATGTCCCTTCTCAGTAAATGAGTACGGAGTATAGCGTTAGCTGAAGTATCTGACCGCTTTATTTGATCGTTAGCGCGGAACTGTTAGCAGTGACTGGCGACGATTAAACAAATGGAGGACAGCTGCGTTTCCCCGGTTTCTTTCCAATGTCAGTCAGTGTTTTATCACTCGGAATGTTCGTTATTGTCGTCGTCTGTTAAAAATTCAGGTGAAATTCGCCGGTTTTTGGTCAACCTTAATAGGCCACGTTTTGACGCCGGTAGAAACGGTGATGGTTATAAGTCAAGCCATCATGCTTGCGTGTGTAGATTAGCTACGTTAGTTGGCTACCTTTCTTTAGCAATGGTCTCCTTTATTGCCATCTTTATTTGTAAAATATCTCCACAGAATCCTGTGAAAAATAAGACTGAGTCTTCGGGATCTTCTGAAATGGGAGCCGATAAAAGGTATGTATATATTGTGCTGCTGTTAGAAAATACAATAATGCGCATTAAATCCCGCAGTTAGTTTTTAGGAGTATGTGATCTGAGTGACATTATTGTGTAGCATTTTACTATAAAATATCAGAATTTTACCAGTTGGCCTTTGTCAGCTGCTTCCCAGTTGGTTAGCTGGAAAGGGAAAATGCTTCCCAACACCTGCATAAAGGTTTTGCTTTGATCCTTCATTCCTATTCTACATTGAGCTAGCTATCTGTGTCATGGGTAATTAATAAGGGAGCCATTTTGATGGATGTTGAATGGAAATATGTATATCTCACAATTATACCAGATTGTAAACTTGTAAAGTTTTTTTTAAAAAATATGTATTCATCATTATTCCAGCTTGGTTAAACCTTTGAATATGATGGATGATTCTGATATTCTTACGGTCCAAACCTTTGTGAACCACAGCGTTCAACTTGTTTGAGTCTGTACATGTGACATTTGGCTAGCTGTCCCCATGCAAAGCCCTAGGAGAGTGATCTGCATGATTTTGTGTACGCAGAGTCAGTCGCACAGAGCGGAGTGGCAGATATGGGCCGGACCAATCCAGGGATGATGGCGACTGGCGAGAGAGGCGAGACAGGGACTTGGAACGAGAGTACGAGGCACGGCGCTGGGGTGATGAGAGACGGGCTGACCGCTACGAGGGGGAGCGCAGTAGGCAGGACAGCCCTGAGGTGACAACCTCGATTTCTGTGTTTATATTGTGCGTTAGTGATACTACCCCTTTGGGGGTGGTATATGTCAGATTGGAACTGTATTCTTTTGTGGCCAGGATTGTTGTTGTATCAACTTAACTTCGCGATAGGATTGAAAGCAAAATTGGGTTTATACTGTAAAGAAAAGTAAAAGCATATGTTTAACTGATAATCGTTATGTGTTATATGATGATCTCTGTGTTACTCGCAGCGAGAGAGGAAACGGCGTAACAGTGATAGGTCTGAAGATGGGTACCACTCTGATGGAGATTACATGGACCAGGACTATAGGGATGAATCTGGAGAGGAGGTGGAGAGCAAGACTGTCATGCTCAGAGGCCTGCCCCACCAGGTCACCGAGGCAGACGTAAGATGTTCTTTCCTTACTGTCGGCCTTGGGTTAACCTTTTGGTTAATGAAATATAAAATGTAATTTTCTCTCTCTGGATCAGGTTCGGGCAGCTATAGATCAGTTGGAGGGACCTAAGCCTGCAGATGTCCGGCTGAAGAGGAAGAGGACAGGTGAGAGTCATGAACATAGACATGTCCTCTTCCCAGTTTGACACCTCAGGGCCAATCTGCTTCCATTCAGACTTTTTTTGCCATAGCAAAGGAATGGTCATTTTCTTCCCTCGTAATGTACATTTTAAAAATAATCTGTATTATAGCTCCCAAACGAGCTTGATGGGCTGAATGGCCGCCTCGTTTGTAAATTTCTTATGTTCTTATGTGTCAAGCGGGGGGGAAAAGTGATGAGGTAAGTAGGTTTATGCTTTCCCAAAATATTCATCCTATTTTTGAGGGAAACCTGTTGCATAACTGCATGATTGTATGGCGAGGGTGTTTCGCAATGGGTTTCTTGCTATGGCAAAAATTTGTGACATACCCAGATCGTCACCCCATTTTGTTGTTTGGGTATCTGAGTCGCGAAGCAGTTTGTGACAGCTTGATTATTATGCCAACGAACTTTGACTAACACAACTCCCGTCTATATCTGA